CCCTCCCCTGCTCAAGCTCTGTCTCTCTCTGTCTCAAAAATAAACATTAAATAAAAACAAACATCAAAAAAATTAGTGATGGGCTTTCAATCGTGTCCGGGATCCCCTGGGGGCCTTCCTGGTGCCCGTTCTGACGCCCCTGCCTTGGGACGCAGGTCGGACCATCATCTTCACGACCCACCACCTGGATGAGGCTGAGGCGCTCGGTGACCGTGTGGCCCTCCTGCAGCATGGCCGGCTCCGCTGCTGTGGTCCCCCCTTCTGCCTGACCCAGGCCTATGGCCAGGGACTCAGCCTGACGCTCAGCAAGCAGGTACGACGCACAGTGACCTAGGTATGCGGGAGAAATGCCCTTCCTGTGTGGGGCAGAGGAGACAAATTCGGCTGTCCTGTGACAGAGTTTTACACTTTGGACTCAAATCAACTGAATGAATATTGATTCTGAGTCCAGTGTTGCCTGTAATGCTGCTGTCCTATGCAGGGAGGCCTGAGGGCCTTGGGGTCTCGGTACATGTGGAGGAAAGGGTGTACCTGAGAACGAAAACATGGTCACTGTGGTGTGTGCACAGCATGCTCAGGAGCCGGCAGGGTGGGGGTCTGCTGTGGGCTCCTGGTGGTCGGGGAAGGGGGGCACTGAGCTGCAGACTGCGTTTCCTGGTGGCCCCGGACAGGGACTTACCGTGTTATGGGTGGACTGGAGAGGGAGTCAGTAATTGAGTGGAAGTCTCTGTGCACAGCGGCCCGGATGCCGGAAGAAATCCCCCAGGGCTGAGCGGAGCAATTAGCCCCTGTGACCCCAGTGCATTTGCACTGACAGAGGCATCAGATGAGGCTCAAAAGCACCTGATTGGTAACAGCATCCGCTGGGTCTGGCCAGGCAGTATCGTAGCCCAGATGCTCTACAAGTATTTTCCTTCTTATTTTTTTAAATGTTTATTTATTTTTGAGAGTTGAGAGTGAGAGAGAGACAGAGAGTGGCAGGGGAGGGTCAGAGAGACGGGGAGACACAGAATCTGAAGCAGGCTCCAGGCTCTGAACTGTCAGCACAGAGCCCCACACTGGGCTCAAACCCGTGAACTGTGAGATCATGACCTGAGCCAAAGTTGGACACTTAAGCGACTGAGCCACCCAGGCGCCCCTGGAAGTATTTTTCTGACAGTGACTGTTCTTTTCGGAGGCTAAAGCTTTATGATAATGTAGTGAGGGACCTCCGGGATAAAAGGTACATTTCAGAGGTCCTGTCAACCGGAGCCTGGCAGAGGTGGCTGTGGGGTTGGGATGCAGGGGCTGTGGGCCCTGAGTCAAGGTTCCTGCTTCCTTTCTGACTTGGGTAAACTATCTTGCTGTCCCAAGGTGCCTCCTTCCCTCTGTGGTTGGATCCTTGTCTCCCCTTTAAGAAGACCCAGCCCTGTATCTTGTAGTCCCCTTGCTAGGATTGTCCCCAGGCTCAGGGGGCCCATGTGCGTATAGCCCTCCCCAGACCTGTCCGAGGAGCCTGGTGACCACTGCCAAGATGGGCGTGTAGGTCTCACCTTGTTGGAATTACCACCAGAGATTTATTTTTAAAAAGGAAGAAGTACAGGGGAGCCTGGGTGGCTTGGTCGGTTACACATCCAACTCTTGGTTTCTGCTCAGCTCATGATCTTATGGTTTGTGAGTTTGAGCCCCATGTCGGGCTATGCACTGATGGCGTGGAGACTGCTTGGGATTCTCTCTCTCTCTCTCTCTCTCTCTCTCTCTCTCAAAAATAAAATAAAATAAACTTAAATAAATGAAAAGAAGAAGTACACCGTGTCCTAGAAATGCCCGTGGCTTAAATGATATTTCTCGACGTCGCTGCTTTGAATTGGAATTTCAGACGTGACCTCAGATGACGTAAAGTCGGTATTTTTGGATTAACGAGGCTTGCCGTTTTCTCGCCCCCTCTGTGGGATGGCCAGCCTTCTGCTCCGGAGACCGATGACCTGAAGCACGTCACTCGTGCCACGTCTCTGATCCAGACCTACATCCCTCAAGCCTTCCTCAGAGACAGCAGCGGGGCTGAGCTGGTCTACGGCATTCCCAAGGATGCAGACAGAGCCTGCTTCAAAGGGCTGTTCCAGACCCTGGAGCAGAACCTCGACCATCTGCATCTGACGGGCTTCGGGATTTCAGACGCCACACTGGAAGAGGTACGTTCAGCTGGTCGGGTGCGCTTTTAACTGACTACGTTTGGTTTGCCACCCTGCGTCGGTGGTGAGGCGGGGGTAAGGCAGCGGGGAGGGCGCGTGACGGAGAACATGGCCGTTTTTATTGTTTCCAGGGTCTCATCAGTGCCACACACCACGTAAGCCAATATGGACCGGAGCACGCCCCATGGGTCACTATCGTTCTTTAGGGAAAATCCGCGTTTTTAGATTTGAGAGCTTTGATGTCTTTACTCCGGAGTCGTTACATGTCTGAACGCTTGTCAGTAGTCGGGGGGTGGCTTGCCTTGTCTCCTCATCTGGAGACCCCCTGACTTTCTCCATGGACCTGCTTCTGTTTGGGAGCCCATGGCCCCACCCTGGGCAGAGGAGGAGATGTGCAGAAGGTCAGGCTCACGGACGTTGCTGGCTCCTGGCGAGCACCATGCTGCCCCCCAGTCACTTGGGACTTTCCTGTCACTTTCCTTACGCTTCCTGTCACTTGGGACTGAGCTGGCTGACGTCCACCTTTCAGTGTGGTTTCTCTGTACCAGCGGGAGGCTAGACCCAGGCATTTCCTCCAGGATGGCCGTGGGTGTAGCTGAACCCAAGGCGAGCCTT